TTCTGAAGAGGAAGGGGTCTTAAGAGCTCCCAGCCAGGCCCTAGAGATGACCCAGTTTGGCCCCACTTTGTCCAAGTTATTTTGTTTCTGGTTTGCTCTTTTATGCACTGCCCACTGTCAGTAGTATATATATATATTTTTTTACAAGGGCACACTAAGGTTGGTGCAACACATCAAGGATCGTATTCCCAAAGTGGATAAGGCCAAAATCCATCTTGAGGATATGGGGCAAATTTGGGGGCGATACTGGTGTATAAAGCTTCAGTAAAGTTCAAGCTTCTCATCCCTCTGATTATCCAAGAATGCCCATTTTCTGGCTGCACTACTCTAGGAGGCCCTGGGGGCTGCAAAAGGGAACCAGGCAGGGAAGATGCAGTTCCCAGCACAGCTGTGTATAAATCAGTGTGTAGATCAGACCCACAGGGGCATTTTCCTCAGAAGGACATTACAGCAGGTTGCTGTTCTGTTCCAGGTCAGAAATGCTGTTTCTTCCACAGAATGCTCTCTTCCTTTTCCTCCCTCTTGTTTTGCAAAATCATCTGCAATGATAAACCTAGGCCATGTGTGGAGTGTGTGTGTATGTGAGGTTGTGCGTGTGTGCAAGACTGCTATTGAATTGAGCTCTTAAATTAGTTAAACAGGCCTTGCCCCTGGGCTGCACCTTTTGCTACTCTGCACTAGAACCAACACTAGATACTTCGCTGAACTATTGAGGTAATTGTTTCTACTGTCATTTCTCTACCTCAGTGTTTCTCAATTTTGGCCACTTTAAGCTGTGTGGACTTCAACTCCCCAAATTCCCTAGCCAGCAAAGCTGGCTAGGGAATTCTGGGAGTTGAAGTCCACACAGCTTAAAGCAGCCAAGGTTGAGAAAAACTGCTCTACCTTGTCTGTAACGGTGTTGGTTGAAGAAGGTCTGCATGGAAGGTCTGTCTCTAATTTCAAAGCTTGCTAAAAGTTGCCTCTGTAACTCAGGACTAGTTTCTATGTGTGTCCTGACTACTGCAAAATATTTTCATTCTTCACTTGCAAACAGGTTTTAAATTCTTAGTAATAGATATTTATCTCTGTGTTTGGAGAGAAGTGGAAACATTTTTTCAGTTCAGACAATGGGATGAGTAAATCTATGCTTTCCACTTCCCCCTCCTGACCCCAGCCATCATTCAGCTATTGCAGGATTCCAACATTTCCAAAAGAGAATAGCTAGGGACGGGACCTGAAATGACCACAAAATGATGAGAACAGCAGAATTCCTCAACTATAGAAAGGCATTCACTGCCAAGTCCTGACACTTGGGGTGAATGAGTCAGATGTTTACATAGGAATGAATTCAGAATCATGAAGACTTCTGACTCTCAGCTAGCTGGACGTCAGCTAGCTGGGGTTAAGACTATTCGTTCAACTTGAACATGGTAAATACTCTCTAAGAATTTACTGCTCCTGCAGCTGTCACTGTGTCTGAGATGTCCAACAGGCAATGTTCCTTGGATCCCAAAAGACACAGGGGGATGCAAATTGTGTTAAGCTTGGCTTAAATGGTTTGCTCAAAAATCAGCAGAAAGGAACCCAGTGGCATAGAAAGTAGTACTTGTTTATAAAGCAGAAATTGTAAAAGCAAAAATGATTTCCTCCTAGTGACATTTATTCTTGGCAGTTGTTTGGCAGTCTTGTAACTTCTGTCTAGCCACTGCCATTTTCCTGATAATTATAACCAATTTAAGCCCATGATCACCATTGCTGAACAAAGATGAGAACCTAATGTTATGAAGTGGAGGCTAGTAACTGATGGATTAGTGTGGTGCAGGACAAAGTCATCATGGATTTACTACTGGGGGAGTAAAACAAATTCCTGAACCAAGAAGGAAACTACCAAGGCCCCTGAACTCAAGATAGCCTCTCTAATAGCTTGCTCCGGCATTTACAGAGGCTAGCTCGTGCTAGCTCAGCTGATTTCAAAACACCACTTGTATTTTTTGATGGGAAAATAGGAAGTAATTAACTACAAAAGCTGGCTCTTGCAGACTTTTGCTTTACTACCTGCATATTCTCACTGTAAGCATAAAATCTAACATATACTATCAAAAATTAAGATGATTGACATATCAACATAGTTACTAGTCAGCATTTATTATACTGCTATGTAAAGGTGGTTTGTACCCTCCTTAAGTGAGCAGAAGCTTGTGGTCTGTCCACTGCACTGTTCAATAAACTTGGTTCAAATAGATCATGTGGTCTCCACTCATCTATTGGGTGGTGGGGAATTTTTCCATTCGCTACCTAATGGCCAGTGTTGGACTTCAGGGTTTCGTGATGTTTCACCGGCAACTGTGGCTGGCATCTTCAGAGGCAAGGTGATCTGCGTACCCCAGGCAACTGAGCAGGGACCGACTGGGCTCTAGTCTTCATAGCAGATGTTAGGACCTGGAGATCATACATGCAAACAAAATACTAGCTTGCAGGCACTCACCAAAGAGGGACTCAATGTTCCCAGTTTATCTTCAGGTTGTGACTGGACTTACCCTCCATGGCAACAATTTTGTGAGGGTGCCCATGAAAATCCAAATACCCCCCACCGGCTCAAAGGGTCTGATGTCCCCTTGCCATAAAATAAAGATCTGGGTGAAACAGGAGGAGGGGGACGATGAGGATGTATTGCAGATCACTGGGGAAATCTGTGGAAAGATGCCTGAAACACAGGGAGAGAAGATGAGAGACTTTCCTACGGTACCTACCTGGAGTTAAATTGCTGGAGGAGGAGGTGAATGGCATTTCAGGGTGTGGGAATGAGTTTGAACTATTCGTTTTTCACACAAGAAATAGGAAAGAATCCAAGGAGGGAGTGACGGATGCTTCCTTAGTTTGATGAAGATTCAGAAAAGACAAGAGCTGAGGATGGGCTTTTCATTTTATTTATCATCCTCACCATCACCGCTGCTACCACCGAGAGTAATGGGCTCTAACTTAAAAGATTGTCAAGAGGCATTCAAATAATTGGATTTCAGTATTTGAGGGGATCACTCTTTCTATGATTGCAGAAAACTGTGCATGCATAAAAATCCTCCCAGGTAAAAATAATGGAGTAGGCAAACTGAAAAAATACCCTAGGAATCACACCTGTAGCAATGTAAATGTTGTGTTTTATCAAGGTAAACTATATTTGCTGGCAGGGAGTCAGAGAAAGTGTATGTGTATATATGTACATGTGTGTGGTATACACACACACGAACACACACATTTACATACTTTTTAAGGTGAAGATGGATACCTTTCATCTGGCTGGGAACCCCATTTTTTCCCCCCTGAAGGACTGTGGGGTAGTGATGGCGTTAGTGATGCCACTGGAAAGTCAGATCGAAACATTTCATCTTTAGGACATTATTTCTGATTCAAAGGAGGTGCATGACACTTCCCCAAAAGATAATCTCTTTTGCAGATTGATTCAGTTTTACAGAAAACCAAAATTCATGCTGCGAATTTGTGCTAAAGTTCAGCGTATGCTCTTGAGATGTCAAAAAGGAGGTTGAGACCATATGTAGTCCATAAGCCACGGGTTCTCTCCTTTAGAGTAAAGCAGGCAAGGATACTTTGGTTTTGATTTAGAGAAGCAACATTAAGGCACTGTCTTAGCCCTTTTCCCAGATCCATGAAACCCTCCTCTCATGCTACTGGCTTCACAGTATGGAAAAATTAAGAAATCTGGATTCTGTCTGTAATGTTTATGCCAACGTGACTTACAGTAACTTCAGGGTACGTGTGCATGCCTATGTGGTATAGTTTTGGAAAAATACTATGGCTGGAAAAGAATTAAGTGTTCTTTCCCACACTGCATTGTTTATCTAATAAAAACTAAAGCCCCCTCTCATGGCTGAGTAGCTTAGCATGAATAAGGGATATTACATAATCGCGTTTCAGAAGTGTGAAATGTTGAGCCATAGAAAACTTCCAGCGAATAATGCTAGGAGACAGTTGCTAGGCAGAATAGAATGGGCTGAGACAGGGAATTAGAACAGTGGACAGAGGAAGGAAAGGGAAAAACTGGGGAGAGGAAAATACGGGACTACTTCTGACATCAAAAGGGAATCATAATCTCTGTTGAAAAATTTGTCATAGGACAAAATGAGGAGACTGGGAGGCCTCCTACATGGAAAAGCATAAGAGCAAATAGCTGCAAGCAAATATCAGTTTCCACCACTCAGAAACACTGGGCACATACAGCAGCAAAAATTAAGAACAATAACGAAGAAACAAAATGAGTGATATATTTGTTAAAGAAATGGGAAGTGGACACTTCGTCCTTAGCAACTTAAAAATATAAAGCTGTTTATAAAGCTGTCTTTCCTGTTACAAAGCTGTTATATAAAAATATAAAATGGCCTGGATCTCTTAGCCTCTGTCTCAGATACCCAATTATAAGAATCATGGTTCCCATCTGCTACGGATCTTTTACACACACACACACACACACACACAATTCCTACATTGCTCTGTTCTAGCCTTCCTATTGATCAAGGACAGGAACAGCCTCTGAATCAATGATGGAAAACCTGGCTGAATTTTGGTGGTGTGTTTTTTCACTAAAAAGCAATAAAACAAGAATGGCAGTGTGATTGCTACTTAACAATTCAAATGTACCATGGGACCGAATAACTATCTGCAAGGGTAGTTTGCTTGCATATGAAAATTACTGAATGTTTTATTATGTATTAGATTTTATGAATTATACTGGATTTCTGGTCAAGGGCTGTAATAAAGTTTTGATAGGTGGATGGATGGAAATACGAGTTCTGTACCTTCTATTGTTTAACAGACTTACCGCCACATTTTGCACCGTACGTGCCACAGAAAGCCAAATTCGTTGTTATATTCAGCTGAATGTACAGTAACTTTAATATTCATAATTCTATTTATGACTAGTATATGAATTATGCATTCTCTTCTTGTTAGGTTCATCAGTTTTGTCTGCAGTTTCTGGCTGCTTTACATGATTTATTCTGTTTCAGAGGATAAGCAAGGTGCTGAATCGTAACCTGACTGAGGGATGGACAACACAGCTTCTCTTTTTGCGACCTTCTAAATCTCCTGTGGTCATGACTATTGAACGTTTCCTATCTTTTGAGGCTGGATATTGATGAAAACCAAAATGCCTCAAAATAGGCATGCCATAGTTAAAAAAAAGATGACAAAATTGACCTTGCCAAATTACGTGCAGATTTCACCTCTCCTACGTGTTTGATATGACCCCGTCCACTCTGAGGTCCTTAGCCCACTCAGAAGTATTAAGTGTGACTGAAAATCTTTGGCAACACTGTGGCCTCTGAATATCTTTGCAGCTATAAGGGCTAGAATTTTCTCAGTTAAAAAGGAAGCTCGAGATTCTCGGCTACATTTTGTTGCTTTACTATTCTATTCTTTTAACTTTAAGCAAAAGATACTGGAAGCAGCTGCAAATCCTGCCTATTAGAAAGAAAGCTAAACCAGACCCTCAGTAGAAAAGCTTCTGTAATATGGATAAAGTTAAAAAATAAACAAACTGCAGTATATATACGCATTCCAGTCTCTGTCCAAACCCTTGCCACATAGTTGATGTAATATGTAGTAATGTTCAGGAGATAGATGGGTTTTAATATAGATTTTCACATACCTTCTTTAAATGCTTGGCAGACTTTCTCATATATGTATGTTATTCCAGACCTCGGTGATCCCACAACATTGACTATGTATTTGAGAGCTAGACTGATTTATTTCTGGCTCAGTTGCATTATATTTGAAACTAGAATAAAGCTAGTGTTAGCTTTCTTAAGGCTGAGGTAGGTCTGTTTCTCCATTTGCTGCAATTTCTAATTCAACATGTCCTGTGGGTCTTGGACTTCAGGTCTTTCAAGTGGAAAGGTGGCCTGAGGTCTTTTCAGCTCTCCCTCACGGGAACCACTAGGATTTTATTTTATGGCATAACAAGAGAAATGAACACAATATGAACTAAATGTGTGGATAGGCTGGGAAGCTACAAGTAATTTATTTTAGTTCTCTTTTGTGTGGGGTTCAGGGTAAGGAATATTTGTTCTTTTAACATGTGTCAATTTGGGTGGGGTGGTGCTTCTTCCATGATCACAGTACACGCCAACTAAGACAAGATAACAGCAGATAGTCTTCAAACTGCTTTTGAGGAATTGGGAGTAGAAACAGTGAATTTTTTTAGAAGCAAAAGTATTTTAGTATTCATATACACTTATTAAAGAAAATGAGTCTGTATGAATTTACAACTATGTACATACACGTTGCCATTAGATGAAGGATAAATGTTCCCTATGACTTCAGTTTATTTTCCCCCTTGATACTTACTGAGCAACATGTTTCAATTTGCCTCTGGGTTTGTATAATTCTGCCCTGGATTCTGGGACTGTTATGTAAATATCCAATATTCTGATGGGATTTGATGTTCAGAGGTAGTAAATGTGGAAAATGATTACCATGATCATTATGCAACCATAATATCAGAAATAAAATTATACGATATATACTTCCAAATGAATCTCTCAGTATGGTCAATGAAATAAGTAATGAGATAATACAGAAATATTTTTTATTAAATAGCAGGTAACATACATTTTCAAATTCCCATTTTCATTGGCAGCACCAAAAAGAAAAAAAGAAGGCAAATCTGAGGATAGCACCAATGCTATATCTGCAGTGTATATTTTAGTTAGGACTGGACTTCAGAAAACAAATAATTCCGGACAAAGAAAAGTTAATTTTGCCTATGTTATTGTAAATAGCCCACATTTGTATTTTTTTTAAAAAGTCTGTCAGTTTTATTCAGCTTTTGCTAATTTCTGTAACAGGGTGTGCAACTAAAGGCACATTTTATTCAGTCCTACCAGCAATTGCTCAGGTGTCTGAGATTGTGCAAATCGATTGCACACATGCATCTGAATATTTCTTTACAGTCATGAGGACTACAAACTTGCTTTGTTTAATGAAATCTAAAGTTCTCAGTAACTAGTGTTCTCTGTGTTCATTTTTTTCTTTCAGACTGCAAGACACCTGGCTTCTAATGTTAACATTCTGTGCAGCTTCTAAATTTGCAAATAATTTCCAGTTATCCTGAATAGCCATTGCAATCAGAAAAGAAAAGAGAAAAAAATATTTCATGGGTTTATTATGCTACTCTGGTGCTGAAATCTAACATGATAGTACCTTGTGTTTAAATACAAACAACATACTTTTGGTATAATCAGCCATTTAAGTAACACTGATAGCAGAACACTCTTTTTATATTTAAGAGTAAAGCATAAAATAAGGACATTTAAATATGATTGCTCATTTGAAAGTGACGAATATAAAAGATCTTATTATCCAAAAAGTGAAAGGAATCCTTAGGCTTTCCCTCCTTTCCCTCTACATCCTGCATATTCATCAAAAGCTTCAGTTCTAATTAAATCAGTTCACTTTTATTCATCGGCAATAGTGCCTCAGGTACTGTATGTTTCAATTGCTGCAATCTGTTACAGTATTTATTCTCACAGGGTCTTCACAAGCAGGAACCTGCAGGTGAACAATGCAAGTTATCTCTAATATCTCATTCACAAGGTTCCAGTGAAATGGCTGGGAACAAAACAGGGTCACTAACTTCAGGGGCGTCTGTGAGAGCCCCGCAGATGTGCTCCTATGCAGTAGCATACTTGAACAGCTCTTGCTAATTTCAACAGGACTCATGTCAGAGAACTTCCTGGTGGATGGTGCCCAAAGTATTTATTTAGCAGGAGAAGCTGAGGTATAAAGAAAACTCAGCCCTCAGTCTCAACCAATAGTTCTGTTGCTGGTTCGAGGATGTTCTTCTTTCATCAGCTCCTTGAAAAATAGGCTATTTATTCAAGGATCAACTTCCTTCCTGACTTTGGGGGGGAGAGGGGATAAACTGTGCCCTGTTTACATTAAAAGCCTCTTCTTTCTGTTTGTCTTAAGAACAAGGTATCCACTTGGGTTGCATCAGAATACTGAAAAGGATTTGAGATAGGACCTCCTCCATCCGCATAGTTCTTGGCTATGCTTTTTTATTGGAGTCATTGCTTACTGAGAAGGATGCTTCAGAGTAAGTTTCAGTCGCTCGTGAGACTCTTGTTTATTCAGCTCAGATCCCAATGAAGAGGTAAAGTTCATTTTGGTTTCAGAGCTATGCCTTCTGTTGTAGAGTCGGTGCTCACAAATTAGAATTGATACAAGACCTGCAGCACTGCTTCCCATAGAAACTATGACTACAAACGCCATGCTGGGGAACCAAAGGGCACCAGTTAAAATAATCCTTACAGAAGACATCTAGAAAGATGAAAAGAAAAGAAAATGATTAAAACAATTTAAAAGACAGAAAGTGAATGTAGTCAAATACATTTAATGAGGAGATGGCTGCTAGCTGTAGCTTTTTTTTTCTTTAAAGGTTTTCAGTGTACATTGAATAAATATAAATGCAGCATTTAAAATGAAAAGGATCTGATTTACTCAAAGCATGGAAGATAGGGGATTTTAATTCACTGACCAATGCATTTATTAAATGGGTTATGAAGGTAAGAAAAGAGAAGGATAATCCTGATGTGCATGTATGCCTATATAGACTCATACAACATTACTAAAATATAATACAGCTTTTGCTAAAGAAATGTTGAAAAAAGGAAAAAGTGTACATTTAAACAACCATTCATAAGATCACTCAGCTTCAAGGCCTGTGATATAGCTGAAGATGTAGTCATGTGTAACTCAATGGCATGTGTGTGTGGGTATTTATGTATGCGTGTATATGTGAATATTTATATATGTACTGGATAAGTCTCTCTCTCTCTCTGTGCATGTGTGTATGTACACTCCTGTTCTCATGATCCTTGTCCATCTATTGATGGGAAAGGATTAAAGCATTCACACACATGAATCTCTGTCTCTCTCTCTCTCTGAGTATGCTTCAGATCCTACTACTTTGTTCTGTTCAAAAGCTTGTCCGTTTGACAAGTGAAGTATCTAAACTGACCTTCTAAGTTTGAAATATGCTATTGAAGACAGGAGGCTTTCTTATTTTTTTTTTTCCTTTGGGGAGATCATCTCAAAATCATCTCCATCCTTCTTCAAATAATAGTTGAAAGATGCTCTCTACCTCCCTTTCAACCATTTTGAAGGTAATAGTTCTAATTATGAACGTATCTATTCTCTCCAAGCTTTTATCCCCCTCTATACAAGATTCTTTCTGGTTTGGGATTTGCACTTGAAGGTTATGATTGTACTTGAAGTCTCTAAATGCTCTTTGCCAAGCAGTCCTGGTTGAATACTCACAATATCTTTAATCTCTGTTCAGCAAGATCTCTAGAGCCCAAATTTAAAGCAGCCCTCCTCAATCGGATGCTTTTCAAATGTGTTGGGATTACACATCCCAGGATTCCCAGACAGCATCCAGAGGCTGTCATGTTGAGGAAGGGTTTCGTTAAAGACAAAAATGGAAGTCTAGAAGAGAAAACAGTTTGAATATACCTTTCATTTCTGGAAGAGGACAGAAGTTTATATTACAGGCTTGTGATGCAATGGGCTTCTGATGCAAGAGGCATCCAGTGGCTGATCTCCCATTTGCTAGGCACTGAACGGACCTCACTTGCATGCCACCTCCACAGGTCACTGTGCACTGGAGGGTAAAATGGAGTTAATCAATGTAGCTAACTATAATTGGACAGAAAGTCTTTTGAAAATCTCTATATGTAGATGGAACAACCACTACAAGATCATAAATCTCTGATGACTTCAACAGTGCTTCTTCAGCAAGATATCTTATGCGATATTCAACTGTTTATTCACACAATAAAACCTTTTCATAGGAAGCCCAATCCTATGTATGGTATCACAGAGATAGACAGATTTTAATCTTAGGTCCTATGTACACAACTGCTGGTTGAAGTGCTGGCTGTCTTTCTTCATAAGTACCTGTAAGGTACTTTCATTAATTTCATTACATTAATACATTAATTTCAGATATTAATACTGATAAACCTATTAAAGTGTCACTTAATAAAACAAATATTGAACAACTAATCAAATGGGTTTTAATCAATTAAATCTCCACAAATTAGCACATGACTAAAAGAATCCTTCTGAAGAAGAAGAAGAAAAAAAAAGGAATAATACTCGCTGAATCAAATACATCCACCTATCTTAGAAAAAAGCATTCCTTGCTGTGTTAAAAGAAAAAGGAGATGCCTCTTCCAGAATCTCTAACTTGTCAATCAACTTGTTACCTTAGTGCAGTGTTGTCCAAACTTGGCCACTTTAAGATGAGTGGACTTCAACTCCCA